TATATTATATCTGGTCGAGGTAGCTCTCCGTAAACACCGCGGAGAGCGGTGACGCCATTCTGTGACCCGTTGGTTTATCTGCCATCAGTGCACAGATGGTGGTAACGATAGCGATCGCTTAGTTATAGTTTGGATACTGACAACACTGTTCACCATAAACATACCCAGTTATAACCACACACCATATATATATATATATATATATATATATATATATATATATATATATATATGCTACACTCAACCACGCATGCTGGAGCCACCTATCGGTGACCCGCTAGTGGGAACAAAAACGCCGCGACGACATTTCATTACTGAGTGTGGGATAAGAGTAGATATCAGCACCACCAAAAGTGGTCCCAGCTACTTTGGCAAAGCCGTTTCAAAGGTTATTTCCAAAATTAAAAGTGGCTGTCGAAAAGTTTTCGGTTCTTGCATGGTTATTGAAAAGCCAATGCTGATTGGTCTGTCGTTATACCCAGAAAAGTAATATTGCGTACTTGTTAGCAGTTATATCTGGTAACAACAACGGCCTATTTTAAACTTTTGTGTAGCACGATGATATGATTGCGAGCACCACGTTGGTACGTGACTGTTGCCGCATGTCAAAGGGATTTAATGCATTTTCCATACCGTTTTTACGTGCCCTAGAAATCTTACCGCTAAGCCTTTAGTGATAAGTGACATCTTAACTGAAGAAGAATCATAAGTAGCTAATCAGAAGCTGCCGCTCGGGTGTTAAGTCCTCATTTACGTCTCATTTGGATCTGTAATGGCTGTGCATGATGCATGACCATATGCATCCCTTATGTTTTCGTCAACGAGTATTGAAAGCGGGTCATTCTTTTGTTTTTGTTTTTGTTTTGCTGGTCGATCGATTCCCTAGGGCATGTAGAGGCCACCGAGCGGTAGAACTGCTGCTCTTCGTCTGCTGCCGTACACGACTTCCAGCAATGTTCGCCGGATGGGTGGCAGACAATGTGGACATTGCTCTGTCAGTCTGCTGGGGTCGTTTTTGGTGCATTTCGGCATTTCTGTCATGCGTACATCTCGACGCCCTCCGGTCCGCTACTGGCCATCGTTAACGCTCTTCCTGTCTCTCGGTGTCCACCGGCCAAATGTGCTGTTACGGGCTGGTGCCGGCTGAGTGGATGGGTCCAGCGTCGCCCGGCATCCATTCAACGGGGGGGGGGGGGGGGGGCAACTCCACTTGAGCGGACCACATATCAAACTGCGTCCTTCCAACATGCGGTCGACGGCAGGACACTGTCGCTCGCGCTATAATGCTGCTGGTGATTGCGACTGAACGAACTGACTGCTTAGTGTCGACTCCCTGCGGAATCTCACCGTGTACAAGGCGTAACGACCTGGAGGTCAGGGGACGCGCGCCAAGCTCAAACTTCTGATGGAGGAGTGGGAGAGGGGCTCTGTGTAACCACCTTCAGACTGTTATTGGCGGGAGTACTGTTATGTGCTCGGATGTAACCAGTGATGCACAGGCACGTTCGGTGACTTTCAGTTCAAGCGTCACATGTTAATATGATCCAAACTCACGTATAGCCGCGTCTTTGGTCTCCGTTACATAAATCGGGTTCTTGTAAAGCATGCATACTCTGATATTTTCGAGTTTCTGTTAACTATTGGATGGCATTCGTACCGCAACGGCCATGGCATATTTAATAATGTATTTACATGTGCTCCTTCCGCCCATAGTTGTATTCAAACGGTGCTCGCCACCGGCCTATCACGCTATTTTTTCGAGATAATATTCTACGATTTCAGGGACAGAGCACCTATAAATAGCCGGATATTCCCCATGCCCTTGCTTTGGAAATGGAAAGGTCACACCCAGCAAGGTAGTCGTGGTATTTGCATCGAAAGGATCGAGCTCGCCGCAAATATTCATTCGAACCCAGAAAATGTTGCTGTTTCCACATAACTCATTTTTGTCAGGCATTTCTTGTAAACGCTGGCATGTTTCTGTGAAGCTTGGTTTTGATGCAGAATGCTGAGTGTACGTATATAATGGTGCCGCACATATGGTAGCACTTGTTGGGCTCTGCCATTATTGGCAGCACTCTCGACTAGCGTCACGGCGAGTTCGGCTGGACTGGATATTGAAAAATGAAAATATTTTCGTTATTCGGTATCGGTTTGGGCCGAAAAGGTACTCATTTCTGCTGTTCGGTATCGGTTTGGGCTGGAAAGATTCTGCCCATTCTGGTAATGTCGGCGCTCTGCAAAAATGACATTTTTTGTGGTATACATAATCGCTTGTAGGATATATACGACACCATACAGGATATTTTGGCGATGGAGGCACGTTGCGTCGCCTGTGCAGCGTTTCCGGCTGCCATTCTAGCCTCGTTTACATGGTCCGTATGGGGGTTTGGTATTGAGGGTGTCATGCCACACAATGGCGTACCTGTCTCAATGGGCGGCGTCCTGGGCGGTTAGTGCCTAGCCCTCCACCCCCTCACTACAGGGGCTATCATCAGCGGTATTTGCACTGACCCCCTCATCTGTTCATGCCGGTATGTCAGGCCCGTACGACAACTCGCTCGAGAATCGAGACAAGCGACCACAGGGTCTGCTGGCTATAGTTCACTGCAGGCCGTAGGCTATAGTGACCGCAGGGTCTGCTGGCTGTAGTTACAGCTATACTCACAGCGCACGGATCCGAGAGCACGCAAGCCTACACATCAGTGACGCACCAAGACGGCAAATGGCGCGGGCTGTGACGGAGCACATGCGATGATGCGGACCTGTCAGCAGGACGTGCTGCGCCGAGCCGCGTGTGTGACGGTGGCTGACCGGTGTCCAGTGTGACGGTCGGTAACCGGCGGCCGACAACCGTGTGGACGGAGAGCGGGCACCGTGGGGATGTGCGAGGCAGTGGCGCTGAGTCGGGCGCGTCGCAGCATATCCAATGCACTCGCGTTTCATGTGCGAGTTGTTTGCCTTCGGTCGTCGCGGGGCCGGGTCGCTTACGTCTCTGGCGTGCTATGTCGCGGTAGTGTCTGACCGAGTTGATTGGGGATATCAGAGTTGGCAGGAGTAGAGTTTGAAAACTATTGTACTTCGATGGGGCATGTGAACTTTTTGGTTGTCGGAGTACAGCGCTTGCAGTGCATCCGAAACAATTGGTGTAGGGCATGGGGTCGTGTATTTGATGTTACGCGTAGCGCACTCGCGTATTGGGTTATAACGCATCCTGAAATTTGAATTGGATTGGCTGCCGTCAATCCGCGACAAAGATTTGACCACTGCTTGTGTAGGGTGTGGAATGGAACTGAAAACGCTAGCATAGCGAAGAACCAGTACAAGAGAACGAGAGTCACGAATGTCCGTCCTTCGGCAGTCTTCAAATAGTGGGGTAGCGTTCATCGAGGAGAGAATAGAAAAGGTGCCTACGCCCAGCAACGGGGCAGACAAACATAAAAGGCCGCTTGTTTGAGGACTTTCTTCACCGTGATGTTCGAGAGCTGAAAAGCCAAGTCCAAGCGATAAGTTGTTGCAATGTTTTTTGTCATTAGCACTTCTTTTAAAAGTCTCTGGTATCCCACTCATCTGTGGACACCAGAGGCTTTTTAAAAAGGCTTCTAATCATTCACAGGCAGAAGGGTTACCAGAACATAGTGTTTTCTTCAGTAAAGATGTCAATTTATATGGCAGTATGCCAGTCAATGATGCTTTCGCTGCCGTGAAAGCTAAGTTAGACAAACATTTACATGACATTGGTGCTTTCGGTCTACTGAAAGAGCATATCTGAGGTCTTTTAGAACAGTGTCTCCGGAATAATGTTTTCTCGTTCGGAGTTGGTGTCTTGTGAAAACTGTGCCTTGCTTTTTCGAAAAACTAAAAATCGAGTAGGACCATCGGCAGGCAATTTTGAATTCACTTCTGCTATTGTTTCGATAAAGGCATGTTGCCGAAATATCAACCCAACTGTATCTCCCTTCCCCTGGTTTTTCTCCTAGGAATAAGGCTAACACTACTGTCTGAATCGCAGACGAGTAAAACTGGAAACAGATGCTTAAACTCGGCCTGGCGTGGTGAATATGCTGTTGGTGATGGCATCCGTTCAAAATGCATTATGATGATTATTATTGAACACAGATCATAGCAATTTTCACTCAAAAGCAGTGCGCAGCTACGGTAGCTACTTGCAGGACAGATGCTCGTGAGGCATATGGGTATATCGCAGATATTGCCAGCAAATGGTCGTATGTCAGCCACCTCCGTTGTGTGGGGAAAAGATGTTTTACTCGTTACTCACAACGGTCGTATTGGTTTGGGCAACTGACATGACAATGTCACCTGACAACTGGTCGACGAGGCGTAGTCAACCCAGGCCTGGGACGGCCGTGCCGCGGTACTGTGCCAGTCAAACTCTCCGTAGTTTTGCTTGCGAAAGACCGGAGCCGAAATTATCCGTTGAAACGACCTGACGACGACGACGACGAAGCAACCAAAAGCTTGACCACTCAGCTTTGCCGGCTGCTCTTGGGTTTAAGCAACAAGCTTAGCTTAACAGCAGGTGCTCTCAAAAAGCTTAATAGGCGCTTCGAAGCGAAAGCCACCCTTTCACACCATTGGCAGTGGCTTGTAAAAAGTGTCCTTAAACGCTGCTTGCATTGGGATGCTTGGACATGTGTATTTTCTTACTGGAACTGTTCTCATGTGCTTTGATATTCACTGAGCGGATCCCACTGTGTCAAGAGCATCGGGCCTAGTGGTTGGTGCCGGTAACGCCGTCCACCCTGACGCGATCACTCCGCAGACAGGTGTCGAGTGTCGAGTTCTTTTGATGCACCCCTGTTTGGTTATCTGGCGCAACCAGTTGCCGTCCGCGTGCTCTGTCTGTTCCCCGATCAGTCGTAGCGTCTATGCAGGGCGGGTTGGAGCTGACGTTACCCCGCCCCCCAGTCCTGAGCGACTCCGTCCGCGTCTGTGTCTCGCGCTGACCTTGACCCCGGCGCCTGACCCGTGTGCCACAGATCCCTGAGTCGGTGCTGCAAGGCGGCGAAACCTCCGACGACTGGCATCCGCTGTCCGGCAAGCAGGGCGAGGGCAAGGAGGGCATGATCAACCTGATTATGAACTACACGGTCAGTGGCTGCGCCTCGCGGCTGGAGGTAGCACGGCGAGCAGCCGAGTTCGGCCGTGCCACGATTCACGCGGTGCAGCGCCGATGGGCTCCATGACTGGACGGGGAAGTGTGGGCTTGATCGAGTCTAGTGTGGGCTTGATCGAGTCTAGTGTGGGCTTGATCGAGTCTAGTGTGGGCTTGATCGAGTCTAGTGTGGGCTTGATCGAGTCTAGTGTGGGCTTGATCGGGTCTAGTGTGGGCTTGATCGAGTTTAGTGTGGGCTTGATCGAGTTTAGTGCGGGCTTGATCGAGTTAAGTGCGGGCTTGATCGAGTCTGTCACGGCCTGCATCGTCGGCCCCGCCGCTGGCTAACCCTGCGCGACGCGCTGTCGCAGCGCCTGAAAGCCCAAACTAGTAGTCATACTTGTTGATTTGTGCTTGGCATGGCGTCCGAGGCGCGATCACACACCAGCGGTGTCTTGCGAATTATTTATTCCCCGACGTCGATAGCGACCAGCCGTTGATCACTTATTCAGGGTAGTGAGCCCATCCGGAATCGATATCCCCACAAGTTGGACACATTTCTTTTCATTGGCGGGGAAGCGCATTACGTGCACTGTGATTGATAAAGGTGATTATGGGGTAGTTCCCATGAGCATCTCACTCGGCGGAACGGACGTGGCCCCATTTGCCCAGCCCCCACCGAAGTACGTTGGTAACAACTCGACGGCGTACTGTTCGCGCTACCCCATTGGGGACTTGTGTTAAGATCTGTTTGTCGCAGAGCTATGAACCGAATTGTCAGGTCAACGTCGATGCACCCGACACTGAGCGGAAGATTGTTTAGTTGCCCTGAGCCGATCCATTGCCGGTGGTTTGTCTGCAGAAGCCAAACCCCCACGGCGAACGGGCCAAGTTTTCATGCGCGTTATGCTTTGAATTTTTGTAAACTTTCCGGAATATCCAAAGGTCTCAGCGGCTCAATCGGTAACGTGCCGGGTGGTCAATCGAAATGTCGTTTGTTCGAATTCAGGGCGTTCAAAAGACATTTGTACAACATTTGTTTGTAGTGTATAGCTCCTTGAAAGTTTCCTGCAAAAAGTCTGGGCACAACTTGCATTAAGTTTGTGACACATACGCGACGTTTGTGACACATACATGAACTATTGTGACACATACGCGACGCCACGTTACCAGCTGCCAGATATTTAGTTCAAGCTAGCCTAGAAATGTAGGACCGTTTTTAGTAGAACTCTAGCCTACTTCGCACGTCTAGTGTATTTTAGTTGAATGCTGCATTGTTGTGCACTGAACTTTGTTCGGCCCGGCATCCATTACGCTGCCATTAGCCAGCACTGGAGTCGATGGCGGCTGTCGAGCTCCGCACCATGAAGCCGCGCCAGCTTCCGGCCGGCCATTGTGTGAGGCTCTGTGGGCTTTACTGGCCAGTCTGTCATGCTGGGGCCGCGTCGGCGGGCCGTGCGGCGGCGCCTCTACCACGCGGAACAAATGGCCGCCGCGCTGCGGCCGGGGGTCGACTCGCAGGGCCGTCACGGGGCTGTTACACCCGCGTGCTGGGACGGCTCGCACTGCCGCTCGGCTGGGCGCGGCGGGTCTGCCGGCGTCCGGCCCGCTCGCGTGGCGTGTAATGTGCAGATTGGGGCTCTTTGAGGGGACTTGTAGGACGAGATCTGCCGTCCATGCTGCGGGTATATCGTGGAACAATTCTACCTCGTCTGTTGTAACTATTTCGTCCTGTGAAGAACCCGTCTGATGCCGGTTTATCGCCGACGCCATGCCGCGTGGTCTTGGCCCGGTGAATTAGCTGCAAAATTTGCTGGCAATACTGCGGCTCAAACGTGCTGCCATGCCCAGAAATCGGGCTACTGAGTTCAAGTCAGCCAGTCGGCCATTCGCTGTGCTAGAACGCTGGGCCGGGGGTGGTGTCTTGGGTCGACACCGGCACACGCTCACGGTACGTGTGTTTCGGGAAGCCGTACGATTTTGTTGTCGGACTGGGTCACATCGACGTAGTATGTCACAATGCCCCGGAAACAGCCGCTGTCTGCGGTATCCGTGGACGAAAACGTTTCTGGTGATGTGTGGATGACTGCTACTGAGTCCGGCGGCTGGTCGGGGACGCTGGTCCGTTCCGACATGCCGTGTTCAGATGTGCATACGCGCGCTATTCTTAACCTGGATGCCTTGTAACAAGTTCAGTCACCCCCATGCTATCAATGTCGGTTAGATTTCGCTCTGGTGACCGGCAAATGAACCTCATTAACTGACGGAGACCGCAGTCAGAAGCCGCGCGTGCGTGCCTCGCCTGATTTGGTCCGTGCAGGCTCGCTCGCCGGCCGGCGGACGGGCGTCGCTTGACGTCGCGCCGGCTCCGTTTGACCGGGAATGTTCCAATCAGCGCCGGCGACGCCGGACGATCGTCTCATCACGCTAACGAGCCGGCCGTAATGACCGCCCTGACTCGCCGCTCCGTCATCCGAGCCACTCGGGCAGCACGTGCCTGCTCTGGCTGCCGGCACCGGCCGGCGCTGGGCGCTACTCCCCCGCTGGGGGGAGGCCGTGTGACAGTTGCGAGTCGCAGCATGTGAGCTCTGGTTTTGGCCAGTTTTTTTCGAAATGGCAGGCTGTCACATTGGTGTCGTATGTTTCCTAGCGGCTCGCAGCCTGAGAACGCCACACACGTAGCTAATCCTCACACACTCACACAGCGAATCATTTCGTCCGGATCAGCTCTCGCCAGTATCGCGCAGTGGACAGCTCTCGGCGCTTGCGAGGCGGTGTGTTTCCCCGACCGGGGTCGCCCGCTGACGCCGGGACGCCGCCGCCACCGCCGAGCCGATTCGCCGAGCTGGTTAATTGACGTCGGGCCGTCGCAGGCGGGGTCGCTCGGACGGCGGAGTTTCGAGCCGGCCGGCCCGGCCAACTTTGCCGCGCCGGTTTCGTCAGCGTGTGGCTGGCCGACCGCGGAGCAGACCGCCCTGGCCCGCTCTCCGGCCAGGCGCGGCCGCCTGTCGGCAGCTCGTGACACGCGACCGGTGTCCGGCGGCGCGGCCGGCGGCCGGCGCCACCGACTAGCATCACCTGACGCTCACGTTGCCCCGTGTGACTGGCGGCTTGCCAGGTTTTTGGAAACCTAAGTATAATGCGCAGATTTGTAACAGACCAGGTAGCAGCGTGTGTGTGCACTCGGTATGACTTGGACGGACCGATCCCAGCGAGAAGGCGGTGAGATCTGTGCGGTGTTATAATCATAAGCACGCCGCGCTCAGCGTTACAGGTGCCCGAGGGGGAGGGGAGCTTGCCATGACTGGAACGTCCGTCCCCAGCCAGCGGTGGTAAGACGTGTGGGGTGCACAGCTTGGCTGCTGCGCTCATCCACTTTGGGCGTCTCCAACAGCCCTCGTTTCGCAACGCAATTTCGTATGTAATGGAAGACAGATAGTTTCCAGATGTATTCAGATTGGCCGGGGAGTCAAGCCCGAGTGAACAGAAGTTATTCAAGCCAAAAGTTTCAAGGTTATTCAAGCCAAAGCAAATTTGCGGGACTTACCCGTTGATTTGCGAGGAATATGTCAGTGCAGTGTTTCACTGATCGCTGCGTGTTTTGTCGTCGCAAGAACGTTGATCACATTTTTTAATCGTAACAGATTATTTATTCCATGCCCACTTCCAATGTGTTGTTTTTCTGCATATTTCCATATCTTGCATGAGCGATAACGCCCGCGTTACGAGGATGCTGTCATGCCATTCACAAATACTGCCCGCAGGAGGATGCCGGCAGTGAACGGCTAGGTGTTGCGGCTGGCAAACCGCAGATGATATATACGTGCGGCTTGCGAACCTCTGATGAAATGTACGTGCGGCTGGCAAACCTCTGATGGGATGTTCTTGCGGCTGGCGGACCTATCATGAAATGAACATGTGGCTGGCAAACCTCTGGTTGGTGTGGGTACCCGCGGCAGCCCTGTGACGTCACCCGTTTGCGACGGCCCTCCGTGGTGAGCGTGAACTGCACGGGCATCGGTTCGGTGGCGGACACTGTCGGCATCCGTGTGGATGTCGACGGGCGGCGTCCGCCGGCCCGCGCCCGACTCCGTGCTGGCAGCACGGTGTGACAAGGTAGCCCGCCCGCTGCTGCGCGTGCTTGCTTCCCGCCCGCCCATGGGTAGATACGCAACCGGAGCTCGTCTCCGGCGCGGGGTGGAGAGGAGTCTCCTCGCGGGGAGGACCGCAGCATCGGCGCGGGGTGACGGGGGTGGGGAGGGGTCTTCGCTCGGGGAGAACGGCAGCGCAGACGCCGGGTAACGTGGCTGTGTAAACGACAGCGGAGCCAAGCACGTACTTATCATCCTCCACCGTGCCGGTTGGGCTGTTACGCTGGGATGGGATGCCCATCAGCTGGGATGCTCATTGCTCCCTGAGCCCTTGGCAAACACGCGGTCTCACGTCTGAACGAACTGTTTTCGGTGCCTGTGTTGCACATTGCGTCAGTGAGGAGCGGGCAACAGGGGAGCCCTGAAGCGCCGGGTGGACCGGGCAGCTTCCCGCCGTGTTTTGTGTTTCATCGGTGTATACTTACGCTTCAGTTTCGCTGCAGGCGTCGGTACGTTCGGTAATGACCAACGTCCTTAGTTACCGTTTCCAGCGACGGGGGGGGGGGGGGGGAGGAGGGAGCAAGAGGTACAACGCCCTTGAATGCTTTGCATTTCGCGCAGCTCTCAGTCCGCCGCCATTCGCGGCGGCGTTGCGGCCTCGCCCTCTGTGCCATGTACGATCGAAGCCGGGCCGACTGGCTTGATTGGAAAGCGTTTTAGCGCGCCGGCTGCCGGGCGCCGCTAATGGTGCATCGATGCCAGGTGTTTGTACCTGCCGCTGGCGCTGCGCTGGACATGGCGCGCTGAACGCCCTTGCAGTGAGATATGGGCAGGCGGCTAATGCAGTGTTGTGCGCCCGGTGGTAGCGGCTCGGCCGTCCGCTTACACCGCGTCCGTTTACAAT